AAACTCCAAGTACAGGGTGATCCAGTCTTTCTTAAAAGACGAATAATTCCTTATGGTCTTCGAGAAGCAGTACATAAGACATTAAACGGTTTGTGTGTGGAAGACATAATCGAACCGATTCAGTCTTCAGCATGGGGTACTCCTATTGTTACGCCACTGAAGTCAGACGGCAAGACCCCTAGAATTTGTGGTGACTATAGATTAACTCTGAACTCCCGTTTGTCGAAGCAAACGTGCACGACGGTAGAGGCTGAAGATATTTCAAATCGACTTCATGGTCCTAAAGTGTTCTCGAAAGTTGACCTAAAAGGTGCTTATCTTCAAATCCCTTTAGGTCAGTCTTCATCTATTTTGACGACAATTAACACTCCTTGTGATCTGTTCAAATACAATTTCCTTCCATTTGGTCTAAGTTGTTCTCCAGCCATATTTCAGGAAGTTATGAATAAAGTAGTTAGTGATCTTGAAGGTGTTGAAGTTTATCAAGATGATCTAATTGTTCATGGTTCTAATAAGATGTTGCATGACCAGAGACTTATTGCTTTATTGCGTCGTTTAATTGAGAAGAATATTACAGTGAATCCAAATAAGTGTTCATTTTGTGTATCTAGTTTTGGATGCCTTGGATACCTAGTTGATGGTAATGGTTTTAGACCAGATATGAAACGACTAGCTCCACTGACATAACATACACTTACTGGTCAAACGAAGCATTTGTTCTCTTGCATTGATTATGAAATGCAGAATGCATGAAAACATAGTTTATAGGCACCGTTGATTGATCACTGGGTGTGACCAATGTCATGTATGTCAAGTCCTTATTAGTGCAAGTCAAATGTTATCGACCATGGTGCAATATTGTCACCGGTCTAGGTGACTCGACATTGCGTGCACTTTTGTGAGATTAGATGGTGGTTGGAGGTAGTCGACAGGAAGCCCTGGACCCAGGTTTCGTGCTACTTGGCACTCGTCAGCATGGTGTCATCTTGAGGGAACTGGTGCTCCTCGACGGATTCAATCCCGTGCCACCCAGCTTCACAGTCAGAGACGTTACCACTGAGCTATAAAATTATAATTTTAAGGGTCTCTACACTATAAATTTCAAATATTGAATTGATAATCTTACTGAATCTTAACAACTTGTGGTTCAACAATATAAGACATTTATTTTGGTGCTAATGGGTTCTCTAAACTAACCAGTTTGTATGCGAAGCTTTCATTGTCATTCTGGTCAATATTACCGGAGATTACGTTATGCAGAACTAAGTTCTTTTACTCAATTCGGAAGTTGTAAGTCATTTTGTTATGATGGTCCTGTTTGTGACTGGTTGTTGTTTCAGTTTTCATTGTTTATCGCTTAGCATTATACTAAGACGTTATTGATAGTTGTCTAAAACGTATTACATTTTATTGCATTGCTTTAATATTAAATATAAATTAATGAAGAATTATTATTGAAGTGAGAAATCTGAATGTAAATTCTCTGATCTCATGCATACAACCATTCAATTATATAAGACTGTTTTACAATTTTTTTAAAATTCATATTAACAAAATTCAGATAACGATATCAAAGAGGGATTTTGTGGAGATTTCAGTAATTTAATAGTTAGATTCATGAATCAAGTAAAGCTAGACCACCATAGAAAAACCTGAAAACGACCGTTCAGTACTTTCAGTTTTTTCATAGTGGTCTTGCTTCAATTGACTCATAAATTCAACTATTAGATATTATTATGAGTTATATGACGTCAAGTCAAATACTGTTTTATGATTTCGATCTTTCTTTTGAAAAAAAATACGATGATATGAACAACATGTAAATAAACTAAATTTCTATTAAATCAAAACTACATATCAACAATATTAGTATCCAAATCTTAAGGCTACTTATTAATGTATTGACAACATTTAAGACTAGATAAATATTAAACATAAATAACAGATTATATTGCTGAATAACTAATATAATGGATCTTCTATACTAATCAACATAAATAATCCTATATTCCCACAGATAATGTAAGTAATATAAAAAACTTAACTTTATATATGATAATTTCCTGATAATAATAATACCGAATACATTTATTTATAATTATATTTAGGTGTTCAATTATACTCGATGTAAATCTTGCCATGTTTACATATGTTAAATTGATTTTTCTTTTGTATGTTTATAAAATTTAAATAAATACTATTGTAAAGGCTAATTTCCTCTATATCTGACTCCATTTGCTAGTATCCCGTTAACTGAGTATTTAATACAGGCTTAATCTCTTTGTAGAATTATGGATTTACTCGAGATTATTCAAAAACTTGAACACTAGTTATAGAGATAGTTTATTGTTAAAGATTGGTGGAATCTGCAAGTGTACAATAAACAAGCACGCAGGGAAAACAAGAGTATGTGAGTGTTAAAAATCCACATATAATTATGAGTCATAATCAAGTGTGGATAAATTATTGATTGTCTGTATATTACAACCAATGAGAGAATAGATTAAAAATTGATATGCCGACATGTGCTCAATCATACTCACACAGAAATTTACATAGTGGATTAAGTGTGTAAATCAAAGTGAGCAGATAAATAATACAATAGTTGAATGGGCTTACTACATTATCACAAATTTTCATTAATCTACTTAATATCAGAATGGGTTTTGTAGAGAGTTCTAGAAATTTCACAGGTTGAAATCATGAGTCGATTGAAGCTAGACCACCATGGATGTGCACTGCTGAGGAGTCCCATACTAGGACGAAACGGCCGTCCAGTGCTTCCAGGTTTTCCATGGTGGTCTAGCTTCAATGGACTCATGATTTCAACCTGTGAAATCTACTTAATAATTGAGTGATATATATATTTCTTTTTAAATTTAAAAAAAAACAACATAAAAGATTGTGTTTCATTTATCGATTTTTATTATTTATTTATTTCTATTTGAAAGAAAAAAATCAATCGGAATTTCAATAGTTCAATCGTAAATAATAATATCATCATTTACGTAAAATATCAATTTAGTCAAGGTCAAAGTAAAATCTAAAAAAACACACAACAGTAATCATAATTAGTTAAGACAGTTTCAAGAATTCAGTTTATTATGTTTATTAGTATTAATGATTTGAAACTTTGTATATAACTTTAAGTTCATTATATTTATTATATGAAGAAAAAAACAAACAAACATAATCTTTCAAGTGTGAGTGAACAACTAAAATATAATAGTAAATGAATGATAATATCATTTTCTTTTAAATATCATTTATTGAATATAAGATAATAAATTAGTTAATTATCATGGAATCCATTTTAATGATGCAAAATGTTTTTTTATCCTTCTATAGACATATATTTTCCACAAATAACTTTAAATATATACGAATGTACAGCTTAAGTAAATGACTTGATCGAAAAGAAAATTTTCTTCACTGAATTCCCTCTTTTTTTTCTTATTCAATAAATTAGTAAATTAATTAGATAGATTTTAAATCAATTAATTAAGATTAAGAATTAATTATTATCATGGAAAATCATAGAGGTCTAGCTTTAATGAACTCATGATTTCAACTATTTAAATATCTAAAATCTGCACAATAAAAACCCCATTTCTGATATTATTAAATTGACAAGTTAAATAACATACCAATAAATTGTTTAAAATATCAACTATGTTTCTTTTTTTAAAAATAAAATAAAATCTAACTATTCAGGTAAACATATTTTTGTCTTCGAACATTTATATGTTTTTTGTTTATTTTTTTTAAAAAAATGCTCTACAATTTAACATTCATTAATCAAAGGTTAAAAATGATTTAATTGATTGATATCTTCGTTTATTTATTTTCACGTATATATATATACGATTTTACAGCTTGATAATAAATAAAGAGATCCCTTCGGTGAACTTTGTGTTTTTAATTTTGATTTTAATGTTTAAATGGGAATGATCTGTCAATATTTTGTTTTAATCAATTCATTAAATGGATAATAATAATAATAATAACCATACTCAAATATGTCAATTAAAATTCATTATTAATTCTAATAAAATATAAACTAATAAAACAATATGAAGTAAATTCAACGTTTCACCTGATAATCTGATCCAAGCTTTTTCAAGGAAAATATAATCAAACAACAAAATTATCGTTTGCCAGGCGAAACGCTAGATTTACTTCAAATTCTTTTGCTGAGATTCTACAAATACATTCTTCTTCTTTAATGACTCACAATAATTCGGCACCGAAATATTGTGAAACTATTCGTTCAAATTAGACAAAAGTTTTAATTTTAATAAAACAATATCTTACATGTATAAATGAATAATTATATCCAATTTAAAATTAAACATTGAGTATATTTCCATTCATTTTGTGTTGATTTGTATATACTGATTATTTAATATAAAATGGACAAGTAGTTCTTTTCTTTTCTTCTTTTTCTTTTTTTAATGAAGTCAATTTGTTTATAACAAATCTGTTAATTAGTATAATGTATTGTGTTTATAAAATTTAAAATCCATAAGGAATGTTAAGTTTATCCACCAATTTGTATATGAAATCATCTGAGTTGATTATATATATTCATTGTGGTTGTTTATAAAGTTATTTAAAATAGAATTTATTAGACTATACATATTTTTTTATTTTTACTCATCAACAGTTAATAAAGCGTGGGTGGTCATAATGTTAGTTTATTATCATTGCCTAAAATGAGACATGAATAGAAAGATAAGAACATTAATAGACAAGAAAAAAAAAAGTGTATTTTAGTACACTAAACATCCTACGCATGATTATTTCATTGGTTAAGTCAAGGTTATAATTAATGAGTTAATTTTCCTATAGTTTTTATAGAATTGTGTAATTAATAATGAACGTATAATTCGATTGGACAATTTATTTATCCATGTTTTAAATGAATATTATAATTTTATTTAAACGTGATAAAATTTACACAGTAGAAATAAGTGTAAAATTACACTTGATTATAAAATATGAGTGATTCAAATAAATCTTACTGGTCATTTGAAGAGGAACATTGTTTACCTTACACCACTACTGTTACTAATACTATTAGTACTACAACAACGGCTACATTAACAATAACTACTACTGCTACTACTGACATAGATCATGTTAGTGGTACAACCGATGCTTCATCTGTACATTTTCCATTAGTTTCTATGACTGTTCCAATTAGTACTTCAGATGTCATTTATCCAATTCATAGATTAGAAAGTCAATTTTTTGAAAGAACAATAGAAAGAAGAGGATTACAACATTCAGAAGGATTATATATTGAAAGTACTCCAATATGTAAGTAATATGCCGGTTATCAATAATGATTACGTTAATTGATAAAACGATAATAAACCTGAATCATATCTTTATATATTTCCTATCAAAGTGATTAAAATACAAGTATAAACTTATAAGTTCGTTTATAACTATTTAATTTCTGTTTATTTCTATTAACAAACTATTAGGAAGTAGCACACTATTTATGTGAATTGGATAGATTATAAATGACAGCACTATTCTTTCATTTTATTGTATTTATACTTTTGAAATACTTTGTAAAATATAACAAAGTTACGATAGAACAATGAGAAGACGGAGTTTATCTGAAAAATGTGATGTATTTACTCTATACATTTCGAGCAATCTGGTCACACATATACTTGTCGAGGCATTTTTTTATATGAAACGGGGCACAAAATTGACATTAATACAGCTTTTAAAACGTTGTATAGAAATTGTCAAGGACGAATTCTTAAGTTTATTGAAGCCTTGGCTATTCGTAAATTTAAACCCCGTTATGTGTACAAAAACAATTAGTCGTAACCTTGAATTTACCTTGGTAATCCTTAAGTCATTCTATGACCTAGGATAACGCGACAATTTTTTATTCTTTCTCCCCCTTTTGTTATTTTACTTGAACGTTTATTTAACTGACCTTTATTAATTCTCATATAAAAATGCCTTGACAAGTATATGTGTGACCAGATTGCTCGAAATGTATAGAGTAAATACATCACATTTTTCAGATAAACTCCGTCTTCTCATTGTTCTATCGAAATTTATAAAAGGGACTAATTGCTTTAAATTCATGACAAAGTTAGTCAAAATTTTGGGATGATCTTAGGTTATTAACTAACAACAAATTTACGTCATATAAATTCAATTGGAATTTCTTTTATTTGACATTTATCTAAATGGGAACCAGTTCACTTCGTATTAGATTAGTGAATTTAAACTTTCAGATAAGTATTAAAAATTAACACTTTAATCATTTAACATCTAAGATAAAGTTTTTCACACATATCATGTAATAAGTTAATGAGATATAAACTGTTCATGTATAAAAAATCTAACATTAAACTTGTTAAAATAATCTAAATGCTTTATTGAGCTTATTGACTGTATGATTTGTAATGCATAATGAATGTCATATAACTGATTTATCTAATAAGACTTATAAACAATATTAAACAATTAGTTACTATATAAATCAGTCAATATGTAATGAATAATAAGTATATTAATCATCTCTAATAAAAGATACTCATCATTTAAAAATTATATTTCTCTAATATTTTATTTAAACATCATAAGTATTACTTATTATTGTAATTTATAAAATAGATTTTCCCAAATTTTTTAATTTAGTCATTTATATAAATATGTAATTAAGAATTTATTTCTCTTTCATGACAACTTATAGCACAACATGTATAATTTCGATGAAATTACTGTTTAGAAGTTTATATTCTATAAATTACATGTCATTAATGATATTGGTGTATATATCTGAATTGATATAATACAAATTGTATATAAACTATGAATTTAAGTTGTTGTTGTTGTCTTCGCCGTCGGTTTTCTTCCTTCATTTATTATTTTGCAGTAATCAGAATACTGAAAGAGATTTAGGTGAAACTATAATTTATGGACGACCTTTGAGTAACGCTAAAATGACCTTGAGAGTGTTCATTAAATAACTAGGACCAAATGATGGTTATAAATCAATGATTTACAGTTGATAGTTATGGTTAGGAATTCGATTAAGGGTTTTCATCACAAATTGACATAAGCTGTAATGCCAAAACTTTATTTAACCAAATGGATGGGTGAATTTCGCATCAAAATCTTATACTTGATTGGTTCATCTATAAATTATAATCTCGTCAAAATTTAAGTAAAATGTAAATATGTTTACTTGTAAACGTATGAGTTTTTTTTCAAACTTTATTAAAATATCAAATTGTAAGTTCAGGAGTAATACCAGATAGTTGTATACTACTGACTATCTACAAAGTAGAATGAAACCACTATCTGCTTCCTCTAATTTTTTAATGATACTTAGGTTAAGTTCACGAAATAAAAAAGATATTGTTTTATATAAAGAAAAAGGACTAATATATAATAATCTATATTTTTGTCATTATTTAATAATTAATATTATCAGGGTGAATACATTTCAGCCGATGTAAATAAAAGAAGAATAACGATCGTAACAGTTTGATATGAATCCATCAAAACTATGCAATCCTTTCATTTGCTTAAAATCTACGAGAAAAAAAACAAAACAGTACACATACTTTCACTTATAATATTGGAAAAATTCAAATCGAAGAAAAGTTTTGGAAAAGTGTATGAAACCTTCTACATTTCAAAAACTTAATTTATTTTCTTAATTAACCATTAGCTTTTTTGCCTTAAAGCATGTATATTGTATAGTCTAGAACATTATAATATATGACTTTAATGATGAAAAATGTATTTGTAAAAGGTTTAGCGAATGAATTTAAAGTAAATTCAACGTTCTGCCTGAAGACGTTTTACAAGGCGAATCGTTGGATTTACTTTAAATTCATTCCCTGAGATTTCACAAATACATTCTTCCTCAATAATGTCACATATCAGCTTGATACCTAAAGACTGTGAAACTATTTGATCAAATCTAGACAAAATTTCTTATATATTATAATGTATGGTTATAGTTAGTTATACCTTTTGGAAATAGAGAAAATGATAGAAATGAATTAATTATGTATTTGTTAATAAACAGTTAATTTTTCATAGAGATTATAAATAACTTGCGGTTATATTTTACTTGATCTAATAATAATATAGAAGACAAGTCAAATGATAATGAATATAAATTCCATTATAAATTAAATATAGTTTATTATTATCTTGTTTAATTTCTACCTTGAATTGTTATGGAGTTGTTTACAAACTGTATTTTTTTGTTGGTAATTTTATTTGTGTTAAGGTTCCTTTTGTTTAAATAAAATAAATTATCACATTAAATTTTGTATATTATATTATTAATCAACTTTTGTTTTAAATACAAAGCCTAGAAGAATATACCAAAGTCTTGATAGAATAACATTTTTTACTATGTATGTGTTGCTAAGGTTAACAGAGAGTTGAATAATGTACAGTTAAATGAGTATTAATTAATAAATAATTTATATAATGTGAAATTGTGCTTCTCACTTTGTTTAATAATTTTTTTTGATGCTAGAAGTTGATCTTGTAAAACAATCTATGAGTGGATATTTGTCACACATATATGTTAACTTGGGTAGCTCCAACTGATGCTGAACTCATTATGACTTATGATTTAGCTATGAATCCTTGATTGTCGTTCTGGACGACTATATCACAGACAACTGCAAATTTAATTGAGTATTTTAAAGTTATACACTCAGTGCTAAGTCAATTCAACTTTCTCTATTACATTAAATTTAACTGTTAGAATTATCCTTTTATGTAAATGTAGATTTTTCGGTCTAAAAAATAAGTCATTGAGAGATCATTTACTCTATCTAAACTACTTAATTTCTTAAAACAACCAAAATAAGCAAACCACACTGAAACGTTGCATAAACAATAAAATTTTATCTACTTAGCATTGATCATGTGAATATATTTGAAGCATAATGATAAGATTCATAGTGAGATTTGAATCCGATACCTTGCAATTCATAAGCTTATAAGTTATACATTAGATTCAGATAGTCGCTAACATGATTCAACTTACTAAATGTAGGTTATGCATAAAAGTATTTTATTTTTGTTTAGTCACTAAAATACTAATAAATTAAATAAACCAAATCAAAAGATTCAATAAATGATTCGAATATTTACTAAAATGAAGTATATAATACCTACTTACAAAATATACGTTTGACTAACATGTTCAAGCAGTTAACGCTAGCCATATAAAAGATAGAATATTCACTTTGTTTGTAAGAAGAAAAAAAAGAGAACTTACCATCAGTAAATTATAATTGATGTTATACTGAAATTGTCAACTTCATTCGCCTACTGACTATTACTTTTATACATAAACGGTTAAAGGAATAATTTATAATGAAAGTAAATTGAAGGGATTTATATATATATATATATCAGAAGGGGTTTCGTGGAGATTGTAGTAATTTCAACAGTTGAGTCAATTGAAGCTAGACCACCATGGATACGAAAAGTGAACACAACACCAAAACATACATAGTTTAGACAAAATTTACCATACCATTAACTGGCTGAATTAATATGGCGTATATATATTTGGTTCTCCCTTGTACTAATATTTATATGTTCAAATAAATCAATAAATTGATGAATGATTTAGTTTACAATTATGTTTGTTCAGATCAACTTTATTCCTTAAAACATTTTAGATGAACTAAACTAATCTTAAATAATATTTTTAGTATATAATGAACTTTTCTTGTATTCTGCACATGATTTAATGAATTAAAATTTGAGATATAAAATATTAGAAGAGATTTTATGGATATTATAATTACTTCAATGGTTGAGATCATAAGTCCAGTGGTCTAGCTTCAACTGATTCATGATCTCAATCATTGAAATTAATATAAAATATTCTTAAATATTGCGCAATTTTAAAATTTATACAATAAAGTTTTAGTTAACTACATAGTGTTAATTTTATATTTTTTCTATAAAAAATGAGTTTAGTTGTCATGTTGAAATTTATTAAACAATAGTTTAATTAAATAATTAATTGGATTGTTTATTACATAGTGATTATTTATTAAAGGAAGCATATAATGAAATTCTTTACATATTTTTATGTGAATATTCTCAGGATAGTTTTTTTTTTAATTGAATACTTACTTAATTTCATTATAACTACCAGTATTAGGTTTATTTGTCAAAAATATCCAGAATATGTATAGTGATAAGTAAGTCCATTAATTAACAAATTTATCTAGAATAAAACAGTTCTTTTTTTTGTATGTATGTGTGTGTGTGTGTGTTAAAACTGTCATCTA